CCGGATTTCTACTCGTCTCTTCATCCTGATCATTTATATATATATAACCCTATATCTAACTCGATTAATTTTAGGTGATACAAACAACCGTTAGGTGAACAAAACTATTATACTCTGTAGCAACAGGTTGCGAGAGTATAAAAAGCTTAGTAGCTCTGTGTTCCTAAAATAACGCAAAAACGTTCGTTTACTTTATATTGTAATATTGTTAGTTAAAACCAAAAATATAGAAAATACTTTTAAAACATTTTTATTTGCAAAATATGATTATAAATAACTTTTTTTTTTAGTTTTTCAAATAACTTCCACAAAATTTTAATATCAAAATCAGAAAATTAAAAAAAAAAAATAATATAATATTAATAAATATCATGATTTCTTAATAAAAAATATTAAAATTTTTGTTTTTTTCAAAATTTAAAAATAATTTAGTTTTTATATTAGAATAAAATTTTTGAATTTCCAGAATTAAAACTTCTCCAAAATAAAAACTTTCGAAATACAAAGAAAATATTCTATATTTAATTAAATGAAATAAAAAGAACTTTTTATATAACTATAAAATTTTTTTACTTCAAAAATTGCCAATAAAATTAAACGATATGTAATCTTAATATAAAAGATATGTAATCTTAATATAAAAGGGTTTTCAAAACTATTGCAATAAAGCTTTTCTTGAAATTTTCCGTTTAAAATTCACGCTTTTGAATTTAAAGAAATAATTTTTGAAATACAAAACGAATTTCCGGGATTTTATTCAAATTGCACTTAAACACTGTATCTTTTAAATTCATATAACTCTCTTCTCAGTAGTAAGTTTATACAATTAAAACTACATACTGAGTGAAAAGTAAGGAAATTACATTTTACTTAGATTTTAAATAATATCTTCACATCCAACTTAGTTGTACATATATATCGATAGACGAATATTCGATAGTCTTAAAATCTAATATTTTTCAAAGCAATTTGTTCTTTGCAAACTTCCCAATATTACATGAAGTTTATTAATTCAAATATAATGAAAATATATCTTAAAACTTTAAAACATTTAAAACTGATTTTAATTTTTATAAAGTTTGCATATTTACCCTGCCGCCGAGTCCTTGCGATCGCACCGTAACGCCGAGCCATTGACCCTCTTTGATCTCATCGTCCGATGGCTCCTGCAGCTCTTCAATATCGTCGCTATCGTACGCTGTTATCATAGAGCATGTTGTGAACCAATACAAATACAAAAGAACATGTGCACAAAACACATACAAACATACAAAAAAACGGCAAGAGTTTGTGGAAGAGAGGAGAGAAAAGAAAAAAAG